AGAGAGTGGGCACCTCCCAGAACATTGTTTTGTGCCACTCCCAACAGAAATACTCCAGGTGGACAACTTCAGCAATCAGGAGCTCCTCAGTTGCTCATAGAAAATCCCACCTTGGAGTTTACAAAGACTTATGGGTAGAAAAGCCACACTGAGTAATTTACTACACTGCAGGTACTCACAGAGGAGGGAGGTCCTTGAACTTAAACACATGTAAATTTAAATAAGTCAAGTGTAATTTTGCAAACAGGAAGAAACAGTAAATATCCAATATCTGTTTGAAAAGAGATTTAAATATACACTTTGAGAATAATGAGAGTGACAGTAAACTAGCTAAAGTATAAAACTAGGAGAATCACAGAAAACAGAGTAAAAGGGTAAGAGAATTGGAGTACTTACTCAGAAAAACAAAAGAGGAGTATGACACTGAAGGACTAACGCTTTAAGATTATTTTTTGTTCATGGTGTTTATAAACTTCTAAAACATATGACCTAAAGTTCTGTTGGTCATGGGGGCTAATTTGTCTCATTGTTTCTTCCTCTCTGGTATACAGCTTTACAATATGTAAAGATTTATGAATCATATAATTGGTAATACTTTGGTGAGTTGCAGGTTCATAACATTTGTCCTGAGATTGTCTTACCTTTTCAAGACTGTTTGTGAGGCCTCGGTAGAAATAAAATTTTCTGTTAACCTCATTTAAAATACTGTAATGCTAATCTTTTTCCTTTGTATACCATTATGGAGTCATGGCTTTTAAAATTTAATTGATACTGGCCAATCTCAGTTAGTATTCTCCTTTTAATGTGCAAATTATCTTGGTTTTGGCCAGTGGAAGGTTACTCAGATTGGTAGCTCCTGTGTCCTTCTACAAGACTCCATTAATATTTGGAAATTTCCTTGCTTTCTTCTATAACAAGGTGTTCCAGGCTCACTTTGTACATTTCAATCTCAGATATGAACTCAATCATTTCCCAAGGAGCCCTAGTTCCTTTCAGCAGAGAAATAGTTTTAAAGGTCACAATGTGGAAATTATCAAACAATATCATTAATATTACATGCAAGTAAAATTTTGCTGAAGATAATTAAAAAATGGTTGCAACAGTATATTAACAGGGAGCTTCCAGAAATGCAAGCTGGATTCAGAAGAGAACATGGAACAAGGGATATCATTGCTGATATCAGATGGATCTTGGCTGAAAGAAAAGAATACCAGAAAGAAAAGAATACCAGAAAGATATTTACTTGTGTTTTATTGACTATACAAAAACATTTGATTGTGTGGATCATAACAAATGATGCATAACATCGAGAAGAATGGGAATTCCAGAACACTTAATTGTACTCATGAGGAATCTGTACATAGACCAGGAGGCTGTCGTTTGAACAGAACAAAGGGCTTCTGCATGGTTTAAAATCAGGAAGGGAGTGCGTCAGGGTTGTATCCTTTCACCATACTTATTCAGTCTGTATGCTGAGCAAATAATCCAAGAAGCTGGACTATATGAAGAAGAACATGGCATCAAGATTTGAGGAAGACTCGTTACCAACCAACCTGGGGTATGCAGATGACATAACCTTGCTTGCTTCAAGTGGAAAAAAAAAGAAAAAAAACCACCATACTCACTGCCATTGAGTCAATTCCGACTAATAGCAACCTCTTTGGGTTTCTGGGGTGGTAAATCTTTACAGAAATAGATTGCCCAGTCTTCCTTCTGCAGAGTGGCTAGTGGGTTTAAACTGCCAACCTTCTGGTTAGCAGTCAAATGCCTTAGACACTACACCACCAGAGCTCCATGAAGAAGACACGAAGCACTTACTGGTGAAGATTAAAGACTATAGTCTACAATATAGGTTACACCTCAACAGAAAAAAAAAAAAAAAGAAAATCCTCACAACTGGACCAATAAACAGCATCACGATAGATGGAGGAAAGATTGAAGTTGTCAAAGATTTCATATTACTTGATTCCACAATCAACACCAATGAAAGTAGTAGTCAA